CAGTTCAAGCTGGAAGTCAGACTGAGTGTGCTCCACTGCAGTCACAGTCTCAGGTGGGAACTCTGATAAAATGACAGTGTAGAATGACAGCTTAAGAGGAACCTGTGGGTGGATAGGCATTAAACCTGTCCCAGACACAGACTCATCACCTAAGTCACACAAGAAGAGGTTGGTGAAACAGCACAAAATTATCTAATTGTATTAGGAAGAAGAACAGGTTATCTAATTCATGTGTTGTGCTGCCAGAAATCCAAATCATAGCTCACAACACTGTAATTTTGGATATCTTAAGACACAGAGCAAAGTGGCACATAAACTCTTCTCATCTTCATTCAGGATCAAAAGCCACTGGATTTTTTGTGGCCATCACAGACTCAAACCAAATGAAGGGGAATGCAAAATTTCATAGTGCCTGTCTCCTAAAGCCTTCCGTACCATAAACACCAGGGTAACAATATTTGGGGCTGAAACAGTCTCCCAGTCAGCCTCAGAGTTAGGTGAAGCAAAATCAAACCATAACTAAAGCAAAGTGAAGAGGAACTTGCAGTGGACCAGTTTTGTATCTCTAGTTTTTATCTTACAACACAATCAAGGAATCACTGATGAAGATTGAATTCTTCATTCCTTCCTATATCTTTGCAATTCTCAGTAGAGAAAAAATATTAAGAGTACATAGTACCACTGCTTATCAAAATAGTTAATGGTCCTTTCATGAGGCAGCTCTTGCTCTAGACTTAATTTCTTTTAGGATCTAAACAGTGCTAAGAAACCCACTAATTAATTCTTGAGCCCTTGCAAACAGCCACCTTCCTATTGTTAACCTTCTCCCTGTGAGACAATGAGTACAAAGCTGTCAGGGCTGTGTCTCCACAGGGGACAGGCATGGGGAGAGCGTGATAAAACACTTGAAACGTCTCTGGCCCTTCCTCTCACACAGTGCCCAGAGCAGCTGTTCCAGTAACAGCTCCCAGGCATCCAGAGGGATGGCTTTTGCCTGAGCCTCAGTGGTGACTGGCAGCCCTTGCCATCTGTGATCGACGGCAAGGTTGTATCCGTGCTGCTCCCGGGATGTCCTGTATCCTCTCTGCTGATTATAATCAGGGACACACCTGCCTGGGAAGAGATAGCTATCTTGTCATGCACTGCACTGAGGGATTTGCAGTTGGATTAATGGCTGTATGACTCCTTTAAATACCTCACAGGAGAGATTTCGGGAAAGGGCAGGCATTGCACTGGGACTGGCAGAGTCCTCTGGCTCACAGGCACCGGCTCTGAATGCAGTAGGACATGGGAAGGACTGAGGAATACTGTCCTTTCACATTGATGTACAAAACCAGGCCCCAAGAAAAGCTTTTATATCAAGACATGCTCCCATGGTGAATTTGCTTATGTTGTTCAGTTTTTCTTGTGACCTCTCAGCAAACCTTGTTTTAAAGGCTCTCCTGTGTCCCACTAGTCTTTGTCCAGCAGCAGAACTCTTCTGCACCAACTGTACAGACATCTTTCTCTCTCAGTTCAGCAAAGGGTTCTTTGGTAGCCAGCAATCTCCTGGCCTTGCAGACCTTGGTCTAGTATGAATAACACACTTTTTAGGAGTTCCCTTGACAAATACCCAGAGCACACAGAAGTCCAGCCTCCCAAAGGACAGACTGACTCTGGGCAGTGGGTGGTGAGCTGTATACATATGCACCAAAGGATCACTGCTCTCCAGGGAGCATGAGAAGCATCTGCCAAAGGAAACCCTCTCGACTTCCTGCAGGGCATGAAAAGGAACGACACCATGACTGACACAGTGACAAGTGTGGAGTGACAAGTATGGAGCGACAAGTGTGAAGCAACAAGTGTGGAAGTGCCTCACAAGAGGGACTGATTTGTTGGTAATGCTCTGAAAACTCCTCATCCCCACAAGGAGGAGGAAGAACAAACAGCCTCCACCAAAGCTGTCACCTCCATGGTGTCCAATATCCCTTCCACATCTTCATCAATCACAAAGCCACATCCCAGGCAGGCAGGCCAGTAACTCTGGGGTAACATACACATGGACATCATTTGGCCTCCCTAGGGAATATCTGTTCTACAGCTGGGGCTCTCATTTAGTGATAAACTAATTTCCTTAATCCTGAGATTGTACCCTTTCTTCTCCAGAAAGATACAAAGAACAGTTCACTTACCAGCAGAAAGGGCCCTGAACCTTCCTGACAGGTGTCTGTGGAATCTGTCCTTGAAACTCCAGTGGAAGTGATTCCCATCTTTCACATTTACATGATGATAATTTCCCACTGGAGATTCCTCATTCTGGGTCTCCGTGTCATTTTGTCCCTCACTGCTGTAGCTCAATGCCAACACTGAGTTCATGCCACCTCCTGCAGTCAATGTCTGCCTGAGGAGACAGAATAAATGGTTATTAAACCTACTCTGGATTTGCTGTCATATTGTAACTAGGCACTGGAAATCAAATAAATATATCATAAGATGAGCAGTTAAAATGTCTACTGAAAAAACAGACTCAGGCAAAATGGCTTAATCTGCAGCATTAATGAGTAACAGATTGTTCCATCAATAGTATATGAGGAGCAGCACGCAGGAAGGCTAGTCCCCAAGTTCCCTGGGACTCACAGCCTTGTAAAAGGCCCAGTTCAGAAGAATACTCAAGGACATGATTAAGGTTAAGCATGTGTTTAAATCCCAGTGATTCAGTGAGACTGAGGTACAAGCTTAAATGTTTTTTTGACTCAGGGTGCTTAACTAAACTGGAGGTTATTCTGTGCAAAAAGCTCAAAGTCAGAAGCAAGAAGAGCTGGGAGGAGGGCGCTGGCCAGCTCTGTGCTGCTGGACATATGCAGCCATCCTGCTATCCCAGCTCTTAGGAAGAGGGAGATAGCTCTGTGTTTCATTATCAGCCTCAGAACCACCCCTGAGATGCACCTCCTAAGTCAGCCTCAGTCTATGCCACACATTGTCTTTTTTCCTAATGTAATCATCAGTATAAGGGGATCCTCCGACTTTGCCCGGAACCAAGTGTACATCCTGACTCCTGCCTGCACGGGCACAGCTCACAGACACATCCCAGCACAGCCATCCCGTGCTCCCTCCTGTGCAGCACATGCACATTTGGAGATGATCAGTAGCAGTTCCAGGATCCAAACAGGACCAGGGCCCCACTTGACATGCAGAATGAAAAACTAGGTTCTTTCTCAGAGAGCTGGCTGACTTAATGAATGCTGAGAGAACAAGGGAATAAACCAGAGAAATCTCAAGGCCTTTAAGGACAGAAAGGGAGTCTGAGAAAGGGAGATAGTAAAAACAGATGGATAATATTTCTTCTGTTGAATACATGCACCTAAACCCCAGCAGAAACAATACAAGGCTATGGATTTGTGTGTGCAGCCCTGGCCACCAGAAAGGCCCACCTCATATGAACCGAGTACCTCTGCCATGCCATTAACTAGATGGTGCAGAGCAAATAGTGAAACTGCTTCACAAAAGCAATGAAGACAACTGGCCAGCTCTTGCTGTGGTTAATTCAGATTGGCTCTGTGTTTCTTACGTATTATTATTCTGGTTTAACTTATTCCTTCATTTCTAGTGTCTGCTCAGGTGAAGCAGACATAATACTCTCCTCCATACACACACACACTGTAATCTGCTCCTAGTCCCTTAACAAAGGTCAGCATGGACTGTGGTTAGGAAAGCAGAAGAAATTAGTGTGATGGGTGCTAGGGAATGGCCTGCTCTTCCATGAACACTCTGCTGCCTAAAGCTTAAGAAGTCACATGGGGTGTTTGCAGAGAGGAGAAAATGTCCTTAATTGGCAAAGCCTTAGGAGCCCAGGGCTTCCATCCAGCTGTTACACTGAGGTGAACTGAAGCCTCCAGGGTGTTTGTAGATGGATGGTGCTCACAATTTTCCAGGTTAGGTTAATGTGGACAAACATGGGAAAAGAGAAGGACATCATTAGGATCAGTGCAAACCCCCTTATTTTTGTCTTCTTGGCAAAACCAACTGTCTTGCTGTTTAAATTTTTTATATTCTTTAATCAACTTTGTGGTGTTAAATCCAAACTAGCTGAATTCATAGTTGGGATTTGTGGAAAGACAATGGGTCTGCTTAAATGGGTCTGCTGCTATTCATACCATAGTCCCTCTTCAGATCCCTTGGGAAATGCAGACTGAGTCTGCAGTCTAGTAGCAGAAGACAGTGATTTCATTTTAACTGCAACTAGAAATCATTGCAATGACCTTGGATGAGTCAATGACTTCCTGGCTCCTGTCAGACGGGGAAGAGGGAGCCTTACTTGCCTGCATGGGAGACCATGAGTGCTGGAGCTGGGTATTCTGACCAAGTCTTTTGAAATTCTGTAGGGAAAGGTTTCAGAACAAGGTAAAGTCATGGGCCTCCCTCATCCACACCCCTGTGCAACTCACCCATCCCATGGGGAGGTGCAGTGACATGAGCCATTGGAGCAGAAACGACGGGGCTGCCAGGAGGACTCACACACGGTTTGCTCGTACCCGTAGCTCCAGAGTGTGTGACTCCCGCCTTGCACTGCCCCACCTGAACACGGCGTGCTCGCTGTAAGAAGCTCCCACACGAGCCAAGAAGCTGCCTTGGTTTGATGCCATGGAATAGATACGTTCATTCTCCGAGTGCTGGGGCCTGACCAAGGATGGCAGCAAACATTTACGAGCACAGGTGTTACTGGCAGGTGTTTTGTTTCCGAGGAAGCTCCTTCTGGCTGAGAGGCTGCCAGCCCATCCATCCGCCTCCCCCATTGCCACACAACCTCGCCTCCCCCAGGGACTTCCCGGCAGGCCTATTTGCAAACAGCAGGCACAGGCAATGAACACATCAGGCAATTAAATGGCAGATCAATTCAACTTAGCTTCTCTTGGGAAAGCAGCCCTTGGGAGACAGAAGAATGAAGCAGCAGGAGACAAAGGCAGAGAGAAAAATTGAGAGGTACAGGAGAGAAGGAGGAGAGCAGAAGAGCAAAGATGGAAACACAGCAGGCAGAAAGGGCTACACACAATGTGGTGTGAAACCACAACTGCAGGGGAGGAGGCATTCAGGGAAAAAAGGGCATGGCTAGTATAGGCAGCATGAGAAAGACAAAATTGTGGGGAAGATATAGGAAAGAGAGTATATCTAAAGGAAGGTAAGAGCAAGATTGGGAAAAATGAGACTGGAAAGAGTGGGATAATGAATATTGCAACTGTAGAGAATGGCCCCAACTGGCACCCAGGATCTCAAGCACAATGGGTCCCCTATAAATGTTTACATACAGGCAAAAATTGTAAGCTTTACAATTTTGGAACCACCAGCAAAAAATACATTGGTAATATCCTATTCACTTTTTTTAAACTGATGGAGAATCACTGGCTATGGACAGAGAACTTCTCTCCCTGAAATCTCTGTGAAACGGGAGCTTTCTGGGACCAATATGAAAAACAGACAGTGGAACTGCCAAGCAGAAGGAAAGGAAATTAAACAGGCTGGTATCACTCCAGCCAGCTGAGTGGAACACTAGAGCAGAAAAACCAACATGAACTCCTAATTAGTTTTCAGTTTCTATCTTTAATAATCTGAGATACTGGTAGTACTAACCCACTTAGTAATGCTAGTGGCAGGCCTTCAAGAGTCATGAGTGAGGTACCAAAAATCTGAGAGTCTTTTCTTTAAAAAAGTCACAATTCCTGGTTTTGCCTTCTTTAAACAAACAAACAAATAAACAAATCCTATGCTTTACAGTTTCATTTTTTTGTCTTCAACAGGTGTACTAGAAATGTAAACACGTTTTCAAAGCAAAGATGAACTTCAAAATTACAGCCTGACTTGGGGAGAGGGAGAACACTATAGTTGGGGGACCCAGAGAACTTCTGACAGTCCACAACACAAAAGGATCTTTCCCTGTGTGACCTTCATCCTGCCAGACTACCCTGCAAGAGAAGTGCCCCCTTGCAGTACATCTCTCTTTGCACTTCCCCCCTCAGCTGGGAACAGTGCAAATCTCCCTCTCCCTGCTCCCAAACCCGCTGCTGCTGCTCTGCAGGACTCTGCCCCATCCTAGGGGCGCGCTTCTCACATGTCCTTTCCAGCCCGGCAGGAGCCAGCCACAGGAGGGACATCCAAATGTCAGGCCTTGAAGCTGCTGTGCCAAAGGACAAATGAAAATATCTCACAGGGACTCTAGGGAAGCCATGTCTTTCCAGATTTTATGCTAAGGCTCTGTAGTATCACACTATGCTCTTATAAATTCCTTTCTTGCGTGGCTTCCATCCAAGCCTGTCGAGGCTATTTACATACACCCACCGTATTTACAAGAGTGCTGTGAAGAAGCAAAAGACAAAACCAAACCAAACCGTGCAATGAGTCAGTGGCAGAAATGCTGATAAACCCAGACTCCTTGCTGCCTCTTTCTTCTTATTAGGTAGACAATGCCACCTTTCTTCTTCCCCCTTCAACTGTCCCATGACAGATTTTGAAGAATAAGTCTATGAAGAATTAATATTCCAGTTTCTGCTTAGGTAGAGGAGCCAAGAATATTAAACCCAGCATTAGGGATGACCCCACAATAGGTAACCAGTTTGGAAATCCCAGGCCTGATTGCTTCACACCTCAAGTCCAGCACATTAGAACTGCCTTTTTTCTACCACTTTATATTTCTCTCTTTGCAGGAAAACAATGAAGTTGCTGAGTCTGAGAAGGTCTAGCACCAGTTTGTCCTACAATGTGGAATCTGACCATGCTGCTCATTTAGTTTTCCCCTTCTATTTCCTAAACCTTGTTCCCTCTCCCTCTTACAGCCCAGCTCCACAACTTGCACTGTCCGTTCAGTGGTGACAAATTCTTTTAGTCCAGTACAGTCCTGGCAGATGTTGTTCCTCAGGCCATGAGGTCCCCATTCTGAAGCAGAGCATGAACGACTGGCACTTTCAGGACCCACAGGTAGCTGCCACAGAAGGAATGAGGATGAATTTACCAGCCAGCTGCCACTTCACTCTCACTAACCTCGAGCCAGTGATCTCCATTGCCAAAGCACTGAATGGAACAGGATGGCTTGCACTACAGCTAGGAGAGAGGTAATCCCACAAATAGGAGGGTGGAGAGGCAAGAAAGCCAAAAAATTTAAACTAAGTTCACAAGAACTAGGAGAGTGGCAGAAGATGGAACATCTGGTCTGCTGGCTTGCTCTGTCCTACAAGCACACACACACAGACAGATGTGGACATGTGCACACCCTCCTCCTGTCTGCTACATCTGGGCATCTGGACCTCTGTCAGCTCATATGGCCAACTCTCAGTATAGGTTCTTTGGCTACCAGATCCCACAAACAAATTAAGCCCTTATGTGGACATGGATAACTGTCTGAAGTCTGCCTCCTCCCAAAGTTTGATTCTGTAAACAACTCAGTCTTTCAGCCTCTGCTTGCCTGTCCTGAATTTTCCACAGCACTTAATCTGTAAATGGAATGGTCACATTGGCAGCAGACGCTGCAGCCTCAGTTCCCTCTTTCCCCACAAACAGAAGCCAGGCATGGATTAGAGGCTGTGTGCTCCATAGAGAGCAGGCTGCACAGGGGCTGTGCTGCCACAGAGCTCTGTGTCACAGCCCTGTCCCCAGCACAGTCCTGAGGGGAGCAGCACCATGGCTCCTGCAGCCATGGCTGTGAGGGAAGCTTCTCCTGGGGCTGGAGCAGAGAATCCACACAAGCACCCGGAGGAGCCTTAGCAAGGCAAGTACTCCCAACCTCCCCTGCCCTGCTGCAGCACTGGCATGATTTACATTCCTAGGGCACAGCTGGAGACAAGCTGCAGCACAGCACTGGAGAATGAAAGAGCAAGTTCCTGCAGCAAGGCAGAAATACAGGAGCTGGAGGTGACTAGAATGGGGAGATGAAGTCCTCCTGACTCTCAGTGAATCCTCACTTCCACTGTTCTTTGTCATGAGACAACAGGACTGCCTGGTACCTGCCGAGAGGAGAGCTAACAGAGAAATCCTGGCTATGCTCTAGTGGCCTTGTTCAAAGCAATCAGCTCTTTCTGACAGGAGTTCTCCTCTTTTTTCAAATTACCTATTTTGCTGTGTCTACATTGTCATCAGAGGTGGCTGCAGCACCTGCAAACAGACTAGAAAGGGTTTTCAACTCTTGCTGCTCTTTTTCTTGCAATGCATGAATGATCCACCTGCCTGTGTTCTCTCTTTCTGACCTGATGAATTGCTGCTCCTTCTCTCACATCACAAAATGAATTCCTCAATGGACCCCCAATATTGCTTTTTCAGTCCAGAATCCTCAGCATCATGGTTTTTCTTAGCACCGTGGAGCTGTGTCCAGTTTTGACAGGATTTAATGGGTGCTTGCTCCCAGATATCTGACACATTAAATAAAAGGAGCAGATAAATATGATCAATATTAAATATGAGGAATGTATCTACAGGTAATAAAAACTGACTAAGCTTTGTAGACTTTAGTTGTATTCACTCAATTCTGTGAGGCACTCGCTATAAATTAAAGGTTGGTCAAGACTCTGCAACTCACATCAAGACCTACAGGTTTTTCAAGAGAGTTCATGGAGATATTAGACCTCAAAACTGGAAAATATGGTAAGAGCTTCACATCTGCCTTGGTGCTGGCTGCAAGAAAGCCATTGTGCCCATTGTTTGTACCTGGAAATTCAAAATCAAGAACCCAGCATCAAGACATTTTAAAAAAAAAAATAAAATCAATAATTAGTTGTCTTTGAGTCTGTACATGTTTGTGCTTCCAAGCCTTTCTCCACAGGTAGACAGGTTAGAAGCTGACATTTTAAAAAATGAAAGCAGAGACTCACATAATTGCATGACCCGAGAGCTTAGACTTTAACATCAGATTTTACAAGGCTTACAATAAAAACGTGGTGACTGGTAGCATGGGGGATTCACATTCCTTTCTTTGTGCAACAAAAAGAGAGAAGAACATGAACATTCCAAATACAGCCTGTCACCTGTGTTCTTCTTGATCTTTTTGACTTTATTGAGCCTGTCAGCTGCAGTGGAAGCCAGTTCCACATGTGATCCCCCAGTGGTAACACTCACAAATAGGTTTGCAGTGTGGGACACCACCCCTATCATAAATGCTGTGGTTTATGAACTATTCCTGGGGCAGAGGAAAAGGAGCACTAAAAATTGATATAAATGACAATGACCACGCTGCCTGGCTTTATGTCCTGTCTTTTTATACCCCTCCTTTTTTCTTCAATATTTGTTTCTTTCTAAAATCTTTACCTTCCAAAAGTTCTCCTATATTTTAACTCTACCTTCAGTCTCTTTTCTCTGTGGTGATTCTGATTTATTTTTGTTTCTCTACCCCCTCTTCTGACTCCTTCCCTTTAGCTGTCTTTTAGCATTTAGTAATGTAAGATTTCTCTCCTGTGTCAGGTTGGCACCAACTGAGTTGTGATCAAATCCTTTATCCCCAGGGATGCAATGTCTCTGTGAAAAGACTTTGTGCCCTGCCAGAGCAGAAAGGTTCTCCCCACCATAATTTCCAGACGTGCCAGCTTCTTGAGCCCACTTTGGTTTCTGTGTAATCACCTTTCCTGGGGTTGCTGTCCTTGGTCATGATGACTGCACGTCCCTGTCTGAGTTATTGTGACTTGCTTCTCTACAGGTGCTGGGGAGAAGCACATTGTTCCTACTGCTGCATGTGGGCCATCATGCTGGATCATTCTGTTCTGTCACCTGGCCCAGATCTGTCATCTACAAGTCTGTCACTCTCTTGTGTACAGAGCTGAGGAGTGCACAGGACCCAAGAACAGTTCAAAGTGACATATACTCATTCCAGCCTGCAAAGTGCTTTTCTGGTTCTTTCTCAGTTTTCATGAAAAAAATTATTACTGGAAACTTCCCTTCATTTTCATATTTCTGGCCAATTCTGGAGTGGTAAATCCTTGCCCAGGTCTCCCAGGACCTGGTATGTTATGTTACTGAATCTTATCAGCGAGAGTTTCAGAGGAGACCTGGACAGAAAAGAGAAGCCCATGCTCTGAAATTAGGCAACTGGCAGTCACACAGACTTTCAGCTGATGAGATGTGGCCTGGGGTAGGGAATTGACTCTAGGAAGCCAAGACTGTGGTGATCTGGAGTCACAGATCCCAAATCAATAACCACCTTTGGCCTCCCCGGTCCGTGCATCCAGCACTCTCTTCCCTGGCCGGTCCCTCCCTGCTGGGTGGCACTGGCAATACTGAGGGAGCTGTGGAGCATCCTCACCTCCCAGTTGCACCAAGGGAGCTGTGGCCCCTCCCAGGGCCAGGCTTTGCCTTCCTGCCTCCTCCTGTGCTTCCAGCAGGGGCGGGGGCTGTGGAGCAGCTTTACGGCTGATGCGTTGTATTTGCATAGGGCATTGTCATTCCCCGCGCGGCTCCCTGCAGCTGGCATCCTGAACCGGAGAAATGGCTTCTGGAGGGAGAGGCACGAACGACGCAGCTAAAGATAAAAATAACAATAATTTTACTAGATGAAACTTCATGTTAAGCACTTAAAAAGCAATAAAAAGTCAATTTTCTCTCTTTCAATTATTTTGCTTATTCCATTTTTGAAAAAAAAAAAAATAAAGGGGAAAAAAAGGAGAAAAGTTTCCTTCCTAGTTAGGAAGATGTCTGCTTTCCTCATCAGCACCCAGTGCCTTCATCATTTCTCACCTCTCTCTCGTCCTTGCCCCCCATCTTACTTTAGGTCCCACTCCCCGTGAACATGAAAATAACCATTATCAGGCGGGGCTGGGGCTTTCTGGCACGTAGACAGGAAGGGAAAGGAGCACTGATAACTCCTGAGTGCTTGCTGCCTCTTTCAGCACACAAGCACCTTTTCAGAGAAAAAGATAAAGGCAGAAATTACTGCTCTTGCACAATATATGCCAAGTTCGTAAGAGCAGCGTTTAACACTTAATCAAAATGGTTTGACAATGTAAAAATTAGGTTTTCGAATGTCATTAGTGCTTTATAATAGGTTCAATTTATATCATTCCCATCCCTGTTTTTTTCATCTCTACTAATTGTTTTTATTCATTTCTTTCATTTTTTACACTGTTGTCTTGTTGGTTTTAATTTTTAATTATCGTAAGACTTTTTCTTTTACCTTGTTAATTGGTTTATGTTTGAAAAGACTGGTTCTGTCATTCTTTTTCTCCAAGGGCAGCTACAGGGGATTTTTAGGCAGGTTCTTTTCCATTGATAGGCAAGCTCTCTTCTGGGCTAATTTGGGCAAAAAACTGTTTGCTTTTGGGTCAGTATGAACACCTTTTTTGTAGTGTGATTCACAGAAATGCTCCCTTATATTGACCCGTAAATTCCCTTCTACACTGGTGTGCAGGATTCATTTGGTATTGGCGTGGAAATTGTACCTCTGTTCTACAGTTGATATGCAGGCTCTTTTCTGTTTGGAAGGAGATGAAAGCTCTCTTCTGCTCTGGCTTGCAAGGTCTTTTCTGTATGGGCTCTCCTTCCTGTCACCCATCGAACACAAGCACAGACACCATTTCTTTTCTCTTTCCATGTACAAGAATGTTCCAAGTCTTGGTTATCACAGGGCTGCAAGATGTCATTTGCATGGAGATGCATATTGGCAACTTGTTGGGGATTTTTTTTCTGCCAGTATAAATGGAACTGGTTCGAGTAATTCCAGTGACATTTTTGGGGCAGAAAACCATTTTGGCAATGGACATTTTTTAGGAAAATGCTGACGCTTGGTTGTACTTGGCAGAGGAATGGACTTTGAGTCTTTGGGGGGAAAGCTAAAAAAATAGAAGCAAAAAAATCTAGGCAAAAAAATACAGGGGGAAACAATAATTCTCAAACTCCCTTCACATGCAGACAGATGAAGTAATGCTGGTAGGGTGACTTCTTGCTCCTGGAGGAAACCAAAGCTGGTGAACATGGAAACTTGGGAATCTCTCTGCCATTGCCAGCAAAAGTGGGCTGTGGCTTCTCACCAATAAAGCTGCATTACTTTGGCACCACAGGGACACGTGGAAGTTTACTCTTACTCTCACTCCCACTCAGTTCAGTCTTACTGGCTGGAAGATCCTGGCTTCACCTTCCTGCTGGCTCTCATGCCCCCTGACTGCTCAGGAAGGCTTTTCAGTGTGCTAATCAGGCAGGAAACCCTTCACTTAGACCATCTTAGTAACGAAGAGAGTCCTGGTTTTCTTCACAGCAGTAGTACTGGCAGAACTCCTCCACGGTCTCCACCATTTGAGAGGGAGAACGTCACTATGATCATGAGTTACAAGTGCTGATGTCTGGAAGGATCTTTGCAGAGGCATCTCTTGTATGGCAACCAAAGGCCTCACAGCGAAGTTGTCAGGCCTGAGCTGTGTGATAGTTTTATTCACTCAGCCTTTAACCGTTGGATTTAATTCTTCCTGCTGGGAGGGCTTGTACTTTCACATCCTGCCTAGAGGTCTACACTGTCTCTACTCCTCCTTCTCCTCCTCCACCCACTGCAGCTTGGGTGTGTTACCCCTCAGGGTACAAGCGCAAGTGCTGCTTCCTTCCTATGCAGCCTGAAGATCCCCTGTAGAGGACACAGAGCAGGTCTCCCATTAAGCCTTCAGTGAGTGCTCATCCACAGAGCCCTGACCTGACAAAGTGCCAATAAGCTGCCTGGCCCTGGGAGGCCTCTCAGCCTCTGTAATGTACTGCTGGCCCCAGGCAGCTTTCTGCTCTCTGATGGACAGCCATCAAAGGTTCTCCAGAGCCTTACACCAGGAAGGATACAACCTGTATCTATGAGATGCCAAGAACCTACACGGATGCCTGATAAGAGGAAGGCCTTTCACTCGCCCCTCTCTATATTTAGCAGCATTCCCAGGCAGTGTTTCTAAAATTACCAGCTGCAGTAATGTGATTCATACCCCCATCACCGCCAGCAATGGATGAGAAGAGTGTAAATGACATGCAGGAGAAAATCATGAGCAGTGTAGCCCAAATCAGGACTGTAATGGTAGAGTCTTTAGTGCTTGTGTTGACGTCTCTGCCAGGCTTTCGGGGAGCAGCAGTTACCCGACCTCAGAGGCTGTTCTCTCTCACAGCAGTAGGTGGGAATGTCCCAGGCTGCAAGAGAAAAGGCTTGAGAATGTTTGCTAGCCGTGTGTTTGGGCAGGTCTGGTACAGTGGATAATGACAGAAGATGTGCACAAATTGTTTTTGCAAGGACACCGCGCTGCTGGGGATGAGAGTGCAGTCACTAGAGCAGGCTCTCTGCTACCCAAGAAGGGTCTCCATCTGCAGCAAAGTAACAGCAGACAGGCAAAGCATCTTTATCAGCTGTGGGAACCCACTCCTGAGATGGAAAGGATGAATGTTGTGATGGTTGTCATAGACTGCCCTGAACCAGTCTGGAAAGAGGCATTACTGTGGAATCAGTCCAAGAGCTGGAGCTGTTACGGTAAATACCATAAACATCTAAATCTTTTAGGAGGCTCAGTCTGCATATCTGTCCCATTATGGCATATTAACTAAAATGCTCATTTGAAAAATTATCCTGTGAACCACTACAATGTAGCAGAGGAGCTGTTTTGCTCAGATAAATAATAATTGAAAACTGAGGCAGAAAACCTGCAGCCATATCTGCCTATGTTGTGATCTTCTCAAATCTCATCACCTAATTACTACCAGGCCTTGCTGGGCTGTGGAAGAGAGACCTGCAGGAGAGGCAGAGCCTCAGAAAACAGTATTTATTATTCTGAGGGAAAACTCTTCTCACAGAGTTGGTGCTGAACCAATCCCTCAACAAAATTAAAGGGACCTGCACTTCTTGCAGTCCTTAAAAAGAAATTAAAATGCTGCTATCCTTAATTACTGTTGCCTCTAAAGACCCTTGTGCCACGATGGGGTATTTGTTCTGTTTGCTCTGATCAAATTAACATTTGAGAATTCCTTCCCACCACTGTGAAATATCCCTCCTTCACCTCATCTATACAAAAATTTCAAAGCAAAACTGCGCTGTTCCTTTCTTCATATTTCCACATACATTTCCCTGTACTTTCAAATGTCTGTTCCACAGCCAGGGAGTGATGGTTATTGCCACACATGTTGGCAAAGCACACTTGGACCCTTTAGGGGGAAAGCACATATGTTTATTATATGAAAATATGTCACTGTTATCATCTCCCATTGTGACAGGTTGTTAAAGACCAGAAATGAGGGCAGTAATGCCATTAGAGAGAGGAAGGAGATCTCGAAGATTTATAAAACCCGCACACGTGCTGCAGACTATTTTCCCAGCTGAATTGCTCTTTGGCAGTTTGTTTTGGTGGCCAGGATAAGTCTGTATTCATCCACTGTTGCAATGGCCTCAGGCAGTACAGAGACATAAGGAAACCCTCTCTGTGCACTTCACAAACACCTTTATATCCACACAAATGCTGCATGAACCATGCACAGAGGAAAGTGTAATTCCAAAGGGTGGCAGCAGAGCCAGGCAACATTTTCCATTTCTCTAGCATTTTGACAAAACCTAGGTAATAGAGAAGTCATAAGAAGACAATGGTCTCCATTTCCCTTAGCACAGGTGAAGAATATGAGTGACAGAAAAGGGGCTGAGTTCTTTATATGAGGGGCTGAATACAGGAACACAGTAATCCACACTCTCACCCTCTCTCAGTAACATTTACAGTGTATGCACAGTTTCCTTCATGATACTACTTCTATTCAGATGATTTTCATTATCATCACAGAAATACCCCATATTATGTTTTGGGATTGTACTAATTTCCATCCAACTTCCCCAGCTCCAAACTGGGTAGCATCCAGAGAAGGCAATGGGAGCCCCATCAGGACTAGAATAATGAAAGGGTTAACAACTCCTTCCAACAACTCTTGGGGATAGGGGACACAATTTTAAAATCAAAGAGAAATACAGTTATGAGGCAATTTTGTTCTCTATTAACCCAATCAATGGAAGGTTCCCCATAAGCCATTACCAGGGATTTCAGATGCAGAAGATGTTGCGAGGGGTTAAATAAAGATGTTTCTGTGTTCATTAGTGCTGACAGCTCAGGGAAAGAAAAGGAAGGAGGGAAGAAGGGTGAGAGAGAGAGGAAAAGGAAATTCAGATTTGTGACATAAGGAGAAAAGTAACTACCTATCAACATGTAAATTGTGTAACATTCCTGTGTAGATATTACAGATATACTGAGGTGGTGTATTAAGTCACACATTAGGGACAGGAAATTGGGCCGATATCCCAGGCCTCGTCCTGCTCCGTGGTGAGTTTGGAGGTGACCTTGGAATATCAAATCCAGATTTACACAGTGCAAACAGTGGTGATGAAGGGATGGCTGTGCCCGTGCTTGTGACCCACAAAACAGCTGAACCTCCAGCAAACATCAGTCCACGCAGCAGAGTGATCAGTACTGAAACTTCTCTTCCCTGCTAGAAAGCTTCTAGGTGACAAAGGAAAAAGACCACTTCTAGGGACTCTCA